TATTATCATTATTATTATTATTATCATTATTATTATTATTAATATTATTACTATTATTATTATATTATCATTATTATAATTATCATTATTATCATTATTATATTATCATTATTATTATTATCATAATTATCATTATTATCATCATTATTATCATTATCATTATCATTATTATCATTATTATTATTATTATTATTATTATTATTATTATTATTTTACATTATTATTATTCACGTTTAATGTATAAGAATTATTTTTTAAAAAAACATATAAAGGGGTTATTTATAGTTCTATACCAAGACATATATTTTTTAATTTTTTTAATAAAAAATAGTGTCGCGCACATGTAAAAAGGAAATGGGAGAAACAGCAAAACCGGGTTTAGGCCAAAAAGTTGTTTTCATAAACTGTTTTCATAAACTGTTTTCTTACGCCGCTGATTTCTGAAACAAGGCAGAAAAGGAAACCCTAATTTTTAGGCTATAAGTATATATTCACCTTCCTTCAATTTCAAGTCGCCAATTCTGATTGATTCATTGCATCTTTCTAACTAAGGAGATCACAGCTGAGAGTTTGAGTGAAGAGAAACTTTAATTTAGATCTCCGTTTCTCTTTCTCAACTGTGATTCCTTGGTTACAAATATGTGCTGGATCATACTTTACACATTCTCTCCTACTCATTTGTTTTAGTCTATATTTCATCAACACACGGACAATCTCAGTGATCCAGAATTCCTATATTATTATTATTATTATTATTATTATTATTATTATTATGATTATTATTATTATCATTATTATTATTATTATTATTATCATTATTATTATTATTATTATCATTATTATCATTATTATTATTATTATCATTTTTATTATTATCATTATTATTATTATTATTATTATCCTTATTATTGTTATTATTATTATTATTAATATTATTATCATTATCATTATTATCATTATCATTATTATATTATCATTATTATTATTATCATTATTATCATTATTATTATCATTATTATCATTATCATTATCATTATTATCATTATCATTATTATCATTATCATTATTATTATCATTATTATTATTATTATTATTATTATTATTTTACATTATTATTATTCATGTTTAATGTATAAGAATTATTTTTTAAAAAAACATATAAAGGGGTTTTTTATAGTTCTATACCAAGACATATTTTTTTTTAAATTTTTTTTAATAAAAATTACTATTGCGCACATGTGAAAAGGAAATGGGGGAAATAGTGAAACCGAGTTTAGGGCAAAAAGTTGTTTTCATAAACTGTTTTCTTACGCCGCTGATTTCTGAAACAAGGCAGAAGAGGAAACCCTAATTTTTAGGCTATAAGTATAGATTCACCTTCCTTCAATTTTAAGTCGTCGGTTCTAATTGATTCATTGCATCTTTCTAACTAAGGAGATCACAGCTGAGAGTTTGAGTGAAGAGAAACTTTAATTCAAATCTCCGTTTCTCTTTCTCAACTGTGATTCCTTAGTTACAGATATGTGTTGGATCATACTTTACATCTTCTCTCATACTCATTTGTTTTAGTGTATATTTCATCAACACACACACAATCTCTGTGATTCAGAATTCCTATATTATTATTATTCTTATTATTATTATTATTATTATTATCATTATTGTTATCATTATTATCATTATTATTATTATTATCATTATTGTTATTATTATTATTATTATTATTATTATTATTATGATTATTATTATTATCATTATTATTATTATTATTATTATCATTATTATTATTATTATTATCATTATTATTATTATTATTATTATTATTATCATTGTTATTATTATTATTATATTATCATTATTATTATTATTATCATTATTATCATTATTATCACTAGTAGGAAAAAGGCACTCCGTGTCTGCATTGTATTAAAAAAATAAATAATTAAGAAAGGTAAAAAAAAAAGAGAAATTACTCATAAAAAATTAAAGAAAGTTTTGAAATTTAACGTGAAACATGAATATATTCTTGAGGTGACTTTCGTTAAAAGTCCTTATATATGCGTAAAAATAATAGAAAATATCAATGGTAGAAAAAGAATAGAAAAATAGAGGAATTACTTTAGTAGAAGGAAAGCGGACCAGAGTGTTAGATCTTAACCATATTGCAAAATGGTGATGGTCCCAATGCATGCAAAACATTAACAACAACCTGAAAACCAAAATTGAAACTAAATTGGTGTCATTTCCTTCACAAAATCAAATTTCATTTCAATATACATACCTTCAATTTCAAACATGTCATTGCGTTTCTTCTATTATAATTTTTAGCATATCTAATTATAGATGATTTAAAAAAAGAACATATTTTTTGTTTCATGAACTTCATCTAAGTCGTGATCATGAAAGGTGTGATCATGCTTTTTAATGGTGTCCTTATCACGGTCAGAGTATTTATCTTCTACACCATGTGTCACTATATTCAAAAAATCTAGTAGAAAAAGAAACAAAGAAATTGATTAAAAAAATATTAGAACGTTAAAAAAGATGAGTTAAAATATAATACAACTTGTTTCCAAATGTGATT